TATTTTGCGCCATGCACATACAGGTGGAAAGCCGATTTCGTGGCCATTTTCCATAACCCTTGAAATAGTCCACTGGATGTCCCCTTAGTCGAAAATCATATGCACTGCGTGACCACAAACTTCTGAGTATCTTGACTACGACTTGCCATTTGACGCAATTTCTTGTTCCAAAGGTGATGTGAATCATATTCGGTGTGGCATGCCCAAAAGCATCGGGAACGATCTTAGTTTAACTTTAGTTATCCGGAATACTGCAAAACACACTCTCAGCAAAAGGGTAAACCCACAGTAATTTCGCTTTCAGGTCTCAATTTTCCTCCTGTCATCCGTTAATCATTGTTTTCGTCAACAATTTGCAAAATATTCTTATGTATGGAACACTGCAAATGTTGTAAACTCTCTCCCGTCACTGCAGACTGCTGTGTCGCGTGGTAGGTGTTCTGGTCTGCTATGCTATCTAAAAATTTGCACGGTGGACGATTGAAATGCTCTAGGGTACACGTGATTTGAGCATCTCGTTTTCGATCGGAATGCAGCTGTACTAGCTATTTTTTCAAAGAATGTCCACTAAAATGCACTTATTCCGGTTTTTGTATCAGCTCCGCTCCAAATCCATCGAACTCAACAAGGATATATGGAGCAAATTAATCAAGAACCGGAAAGACTCTGTTCAGTTCAATTAAGCTCCAACAGGCAATCTCTTGATGCTTGATCGATTTCATTACAAACGACATCAACGTTTGCAGGAAAGCGTAAGATTTTCAGCCTTATATTTGCCGATAGCGGAAAAAAAGACATTGCGCGTTGTCTGACATTTATGGATCTGGAAATCTGCGATGTAACGCTTTAGGCAAATTTATTAATAATATGTAGATTATTCTATGTTCCAAGGGTCTATGAAAGAAGGCGGTTGATTTACATACTGGAAGTAATTTCGAACCGATAGGTAAGTCATCATTTCCGAGGGATTAGAGCAAACATTTTTTTAATTTTCTAAGGTTACGATGTCTACATTTGACACAAAAACCTTCTTAGGCAAAAGTGCGTATCAGTGATAACAACGTGCAAACCGATGACGTAACACAGACGAAATCCTGTCTAACCTCCTATAAGCAACCGACTGGTCGTTTCTGGCAGCGCAGTCGCCTGAATTCGCTTGGATGGTGTTTGTTACCCAATTCACCGAGCTAGTGACCTAAGAGTCAACAAGTGACGTCTTTCGTTTGAAGCAAGTGAATTAGTTCCTGAGGAGCCGTACTAGAAAATCTATAGACTTAAGCGATTCAACCTGCCGAGCTTAGGAAATCCCTACAAGAAAAATGGCATCGGATGTTTGCACAACCCAATGAAATCACTGCGTCATGTTGATCCGCGAAGGGGAACTCCACAACCAACAAAACTTAGCGGTGAAAATCAGTACAAATCCCAAGTTGCTGTGTAGACACATCAAAAATCTCCGTACAGCGCAACGCGGGATCCCAATTCCACGTGCAATAGTTGGTCTGGCACAAACTACACTAGATGCCGTCAACGTGCTTCGCTAACATGTAATCCACACTTTCCAGAGAGATCATCATTTCACGCGCTTTGACACAGCCCCCATCACCACCAGAGTTAAACCAAGTATCATTTACGGCAACCAATGTGATGAAAGGCTAATGTTATTGCACGTGCACAACTCATCTGGTTTGGATGACATTAAACCGAAGAGATTAAAGACAGTGTCCATGCACGTTGTTAAAACATTAGCTCGGTTCATTCAACATTGTCTCGACGAAATGCAGGTTCCCACAATGTGGAAACATGGACAAGTCACTCCTAGTTACAAAACTGATAATACTGCTGAGCCCTCGAACTACCGTCCAATAAATAGCCGCCCAGTTTTATTAAAATTGTTAGAAGGTATCATCGCGGAGGCGTTCATGGGATACCTTGAGAGCAACAACATACAACTGACACAGCGGCACGGATTTCGCCAATATTGGTCCTGAGCTATAAACTTGCTTTTAGCCCAAGCATGCTAGGCAGAGTCAGCTGATGCCAGAGTGGGTGTCGACGTTATCTACCTGGACTTCTCCAAAGCGTTCGATCGTTTGGACCACCACGTTCTCCTTTACAAACTTCGAAGCTATGAAATCGGTAACCATGTGCTCGGTTGGATCAGTAAATTCCTCACTGAATGTCAACTGATTTTGAGAGTCCGCAGCTCCACTTCCCATCCAATTGATGACCAGTTTGGCGTATCCAAAAATCGGTACTAGAGCCACACTTATTCCAAGCATTCCTTCACGATTTTGCTTGTGTACCGTGGTCGAATTTCTTACTATTGGCAGGTTATGTCAAAATCTGATATAGCATCGAGATAGCGTATGTGCGAATGGCATTACAGAGGGATCTCGACAGGGTTTCTACGTTGTCATCCGAAAACCTGCTCCAATACAACGTGTCGAAGTGCAAAGTCGGGAGCATGCGCGATCAGTTTAACGATGGATATCGACTTGGGTACCAACATTTGCAACGTGCTTCCCAGGAAAGCGACCACGTGGTGATCGTGCAGGACGATCTTGGCTGCTCAGGACAGGCTGAAATGGCATCGAAAACGGTCATTCACCAATTTGGACTCAAACGGAGAGATACCGCGACTTTTGGGCCATCACTATTTCTGCAAATTCTGAAAGCCTACATGGGGCCCGACGTGGAATATGCGGCCCAGGTCTGGAATCCCTGGCGCAAGCGCTACTTCAGTGCACTTGATGCTCCACAAACTAGAGTAACTAAACTCGTTAGAGGATTGTTTCATCTCCTCCATCAGTGCAGACTGCATTCCCCGAGATTGTGCCGCGTTGAATAACCATGTCGGTCTAGAGAACCTATCATGGTTTACTTAATGCTGACGAACCCAATTCACACATGTTGAAATCAGTCGCAGTTGAGCCAGTTTACCAAACTTCGGGGCCATCAGTTCAAAATATTTACTCACTGCAATAGTCTTAACTCTCGTCGATGCATTTTCATTCTCTGTGTTCTGTGCCTGTATTGCCTTCGAATGCCTTGATGATGCGCTTTCCAACATGCATTACTTGATGTAACCCGCTTTACTCGGAGGACGAAAATCACAAATCAAGGCATTTGCTTAACGGACCTCTCCGCCACGTGGCGGCGTGGATTCATAAATTCGTGTCCTTGTGAGTAACATGGATGTATATAAACTGGATTATCGTTACACGTCGGTTAAATGAAGCCATACACTAGTGAGCGGTATGGTTCCAATGTTATTTATTGATTACTTGCTGTATGATAATAGCTCTTTGTATATGTTGTGTGCACATCTTATTCCCATTAAATGCAGTAGTGAATTGAAATCGGTGGACGCATAAACTGCCGCTTTACATATTTATTGGTCCTATCTATTTGAAATTTTGTTCTAATCATCCTACGGGACATGCCAGCAACTTGCTTTTTAACCGTGATGATTCACAGCATTTTTCATTTTCCAACTGCCGCATCCATCGGCATAAACAAAATACGATTCGCTTACGGTAAATTCAGGACCATTAAACGACGAACATTTTTAGCGCTTACTGTATTTATATGCCTCCATGGTTCGGTATTTAGTCTTGCGTGAACCGCGCACGACAACAGTGTATCTGAGCAAAATATAACCAGTTCTAAACCAATGTACTGAGCGAATTTGAGTTGCATGCAAATTAAGGAATTAATTAGGTAAGTGGTCGCAAAACTGGGCAATATCTGTTATATCATCAGTGAGTACAAGCTAAGCGAAATGTCGGCGATGCCACATGATATAGAACAATGCGTCGTTTAAACTTTGGCTCGCTTAATCGCAGCATCGGCGAAACACGAAATAATAAGACAGCGGGCTTGTCCATCAAATGGTGAGTTTATGTCACACTAATAAGCCACTAAAACATGCAACGTGAGGTAAGCTAAACAAACTGGAAAGTCATATGGGAGGTATTTATCGCACATGACGTAAATAAGAGAGTTCGTCGCATCAACATAACCGAGTTAATTGCAAATGTGAACTTAATTGATTATATACACGCAATGTTAACAATCTCAAATGATAAGCTATGATTCAGTATTCTTCAGTTCGATTCTCCTAAAGGTAGCACCGGCGAAACGCTGAAGATGAAGGAAACATACCTACCAATCAAATGGTGAGGCTATGATCTGTTGTTTGACTAGAAGAACACACAAAATTTTACAAGCTAAACAAACTGGCGAATGCGTACCTGACACTTACATCAACTTACATCACATGCAGCATACAGGCCAGTGAATCACATCAAGCGAATCATTGTAAGCAAATGTCGTCAATTATTGGAGCAAACACACTCGACTCACGTGTGCTCACTCGATGTCGAAACCTGATCGAAGCATATAAAGGAAAACCACAGTCCGCTGATGTGATTTTGTTCATCGCCCAAGAGGTAAGCAATTTGAAGAATGTCATGGATTGTTCAGTTGAACCGTTAGGTTATGTTGTATTCGGTGCTTGAGTTATCACTAATATTGTTTCAAACGCGATTAAACGATTAGCTTGTACTACCATATCGTAATACCGTTATGCTTCACATCCTAATCTAACTTGCGGCTAGTTCTTCATCCAACTTGGTTTACTACGATTTTAATACAGATCGCATTTGTGAGAATTTATCAAGCTTCTTCGGTCGCTTTCTCTCAACTGATCGAAGACTCATTCCGAGATGTGCGCTTTAAACTTTCACTGTGTGATCCACCAAATGTATCTCGCTTATACACCCTGAAGTCTGCTTCCAAATATTTTTGACAATAAATAGTCCTAAGGCGCTATTTGTGCTTACACCTCACGTACGCTGCAGGCTGCTCCCACGAGACTATCTGCATCACGTGGTATGTTGTTAAATTTATGCTGTCAGCTTCACATATTGCACTGGAAGATTAATCTGACACCGAGTCACCACTCACGTGCGTTTTTCGATACTCTTTTTCAGGTAAGCTAACAGCACATAAATGACGCACACAGATAGCGCAGGTGCAACCTGTGCTTGCCATACCGATGTGAATGCGCAGCGAAACGGTAGTGAAGATTCACAGGATGCTGGTTTTGACAAATCAAGTGCTGTTGTGCAGGAGAATGTGTCCGAGGAACGGCAACCCGGAGAGGAGTGTATTCTGCTTGGTGCGGCGGCGATAGCTGCGGGTGCAGCTTTGTCGTGGTTATCAAACCACTATTTCTCGGACACTATTCCGTACGGAGAACCTGCTGACTCAGCAAACACAGTCCAAATTTCGGACAAGAACTCTTGTGTGGTCCACACCTATCTAGAATTTTCGGATACAGTATAGTTTGCATCCAACTTGTGGCCACATAATCACACATCCTCCAATTGATTGATAACAATCACCTACCAATATTCCCCCCACCACTTCTTTTCTTTTAATTCCAATTCCTTTGATATAATGAAGCTCATCTTGGTAACACAGATTAAATCACAATGTGACTCATAACAGCAACGAATCGTGTTTTTCTACCTGCATGCAACTATCTCTCGCCTTCCTATTCACACCTTTCTCATTTTTCTTCTGACGACTTCGAACTTTTTATTGGTAACAATAAATTCGTGTCATTTTTGCTTGCGTCATCTTTCTTCAATGTGACCAAGTGTTTGCAACTGGAAGTGTTCGAATATATTAGAGACGAATCGCTTCATCGCGACTTGTATATAGATATTTATTGCAATATTTTCCTGGTTTCCAGCGACAATGTATAATACGTAGCCTACCTGTGCGCCACTGAAGTAACGTTTCTCCGTCTCACCCAAAAAATGATATACGATCCGGTTCGAGTTTTAGTTGACGGAATATATTTTAATTGAGTTACCCCAAACCCAATTGCAGCTGAGACCAGTGCCTCTCGAATTCGCTTCTTTTAACTGGTCCCTGGTGTGTTGTTAACACAAATTTGTATATATATATTGTGAGCGAAAAATAGGCATTTATTTGATTAGAAGAAGTCGCCAAGCCAATCAGTCGTGCTCACAGCATACACCAAGTGCGGCAATTTCGAAAGGCAACGGATTTGACCTCAACGAATTGCTGGACAATGACAAGTATAGTACCTCGTCCCATGGAAGGCTAGGAAAATGCAGCATAGTATAAGCCAAAACGATCAAGAACAGTTGTGCAGATTTTTCACTTGAATCTGCGTCGGATGATCTACGTGACCGTCAGGCAACTCCTTGTTTAAGAACGATAGGTGTCAGGAGAATAGTTATTTGACATTCGTTTCTTGTGCCCAAGCTTAATAGGCATGTTTTATTCGTCCCTGCCGGGGACCAACAGTTACAACGTGCTCCCCACGAAAATGACCTCAGGGTGATGGTGCAGGTCGATCTTGGTTACTTGAGACAGGCTGCAAAGGCACCAAAAAGAGCCAGGCAACGTCTTGCACTCCTACGGAGGGTCTTCGGCAATTTTGAGCCATCAATCTTTCCTCAAATTCTGAACACCTATGTGCGGTCTCAAGTAGAATATACGATCCAGGCCTGGCGTCCCTGGCGCAGGCCCGACGTCAATGCACGAAGCTCCGCAAGATAGAGCGACCAAACTTGTAAAATAATTGTTTCATCACTCCTATCAAGAGAGACTGTAGTCCCTGCGATTGTACATTAGTGAATATCGAAGTCAGCGGGGAGACCTAATCCTGGTTTAATTAATATGGGCGAACATTACTCAGTCGCCATCTGTTGCAGCTGAGCCGAAATACCAAACTGAGAGGTCATCAGCTCAAACTGGCTACGCACTACAGTTCAACTTAGCTTTGCCTTTACATTTACGCTTTTCAAAAAACGCCTTGCTGTAACGCTTTACAACTTGCATTAGTTGATATAGTCCGTTCCACCTGGAGGACGAAATTACACAAACCTAACCATGTGCTTAACGGCCCTATCCGCAACGTGGCGATGAGGATACATGTAGTAGTGTCCATGAGATTAGCCTGGATGTAGCTAAACTGGATTAACCTACCACAACTGGCAAATGAAGAAACAAACGATTGGGCGTTGTCGTTTCTTTTTTATTTCTCACGCACTTACTGAAGTTTAACAGCTCTCTATAAGTTTTGCGTTTGCATCTCCCATTCCCAGTTTAAACTGTCGTTATGCAGTAGTGCATTTAACTCGGTGGACGCTTGAAATAACCCTTTACTTAATCGATGATCCTTCAAATTTTACTTATTACACCATCTATTTTACGGGACTTGTCAAGCACATGTATTTTTACCCTTGATAAATCATTGTCATTTGTTCACTATACTACGACTTTTATTTAAAAGCTCCAATGTGTTAGCCCAATTGGTATACAAACGTCATTGATACTGGATGCTCATCTCCGTGTCATCTTCAGCAAGCCCATTTGCAAGAACACATTCATTGGTTTTCTTCCGCATCAGGTTTCTACTTGGTTATGTTAAAAAAATATTTAGTTGTCACACGATTATTGTGATAGTTTTTATTATTTGCGGCTGCACTTCTTATTCTCGTTTGTTCGTGATATTTGTGTAAACGCTGCATTTTATTATTATTATTGGCCACTGTAAATGGGTTTTCGCTTTACGCTTGGGGCCCATGATGCCATTTTAAGGATAGTTACGATTCGCTCTTGATTACACGGTTGTTGATTCGCCCGTTGCATTTGACGTTTTCCTTCTATTGGTTGGCTCAAATGTATTTTACTAGCTCCACTTCATCTTGCCTTCAAAACTATATAAGCGAGTGGCACCAGTATGTGGCTTTCTCCATTACTAACACTGCGAACTGACAACGGTCTCTGTGGCTAGCTTATTATCCTACCTCCACGCGGTGTATACATCGATCATGTCACGAAATATCTATGGGTTGCGTCAGTGCGGTAAATACCTTCGGCATTCCCTTCATGCGGTTGTTCTGTCTGCCAATTCATCCTCACAACTACCGTCGGAGGATGCTGGCTTGCTGGCCTGGCGTTCCATCATCTGAGTGGCAGTTCGTGCCCTACTTACTCTGTCTGGCCTTCCGTCGTCAGAACACTGGCACCGGGGAAGCAGACCAGCTGGACTAACATTAGGTCTTCATTGCAGCGCATCATATTCTCATGAATTGGTGAGCGAAATTGCGACGTATATGCAAATATAATTGGGCAGTTGGTATATCATTGCGCTCCCGTGCCACCAAATCGCTGGCGGTGGATCAGCGAGCTGCTGAGAAACATGGCACAATTCTTCCGAACCACCTTGCGGTTGTCGGTGTTGTGAATCAAGGCTGTTTCTTAGCTCCAGCCCTGTTGTTTATATTTATGGTGATGCCATTTTTCCTTGCCTTTGTTGCGGTGTATGTTTACGGGGTTTGTATGGAGCGGTTTATTAATGATGGTTTGCTGAATATCCGCGGTTTCGGTGCAAAAGCCATACCCTGTGAGAAAACTATCCGTATGTTGTCGTTCACTGACGACTATGCTTTGTTTCCTCACAGCGCGCATGATTTGCCTTACATTGCTTGTTTTCTGGCTTCGTTGGCGGCCAAATTCAAACAGCATTAACACACCCAATACAGTCTGTTTACTTAATCCTTTACGGGGTCCAACCCGCAAATTTGCAGCAAACCAACCTTAAGGATGAAGTATTGGAAAACACGTCCCGCTTCTACTACCTTGGAAGCTGGTTTCAAGTGACCAGAAAATACACCGTAAACTGTGTTTACGCGTATCGAAAGCGGCGACAGGATTCGGGAACCTTGATTACCGAGCTTGGAACAACCATCAGCTTGCCGTTTGCACAAAGCTGAAAGTGCACAAATCAGTGGGTTTGTCCGGTCTTCCATGCGGTAGAGGAAAGTAAATGTTGTGCCGGCGAGATATGCAATATCTCTATTGGGTTCAGCTGTATTGTCTTCGATGGATTCTACTCATCGGTCAGTGCGACATAGTTGCAGACACCGAGGTGCTACGTCGAAGGGGAATGCATGCAGTGAACTGCATAATTTTGCTGTGATATCTTACGTGACACGGTAATGTGTGGCTCGTGGATTTGTCGCGAAAACCTGAAGAAGCTGTTATATGATCTGCTGAGTTTGGGAAAGCGGCTTGTAAGGAAACAGAATCTTTGTTACCAGGGCAAGAAATAAGTGAGTCTGCTATCTCCTAACCTTAGTTTCAGAGGTTGGGATTCGAAATCGATTGATCGGATTGCATGACACCATCTGATCAGGAAGGTAGTTGCCGAAGTGTAGGAGAAATCCCTGGGGCATGCAGAGAAGAATCGGAAGGTGCGGAAGCGGCAGGCGCCGTTAGTGTGTACAAGGTTGACGAAAAACGCATGACGCTGTAGCACATGCGGTCGCGAGTGCGTGAGTCAGGCGGATCAGGGGAGCCACGAGCTAGGCCACTCAGAACCAGCATCGAAACGACGACGGGTGCTGATTGGAATGTAGGCAGAATTGACGCGGTGTTCGTAGGTACGCTGCATTCGATTTACATGCAGTGTGCTTGCCTGCTGAGTTTCTTTATTTCAGGTGATTGGTTTGCTATATTATTTTCCTAATTACCATCGTACCTCATTTTAATGTGTCCACATGAATAAGTTCCCAATTTCTTGAACACGCAGCCTAAAGGAAAGGTGGTTAATTAGGCTAATTTGAATCATGCGATCTAATACCTTTATTTCATCACGAATACGTTGCTAACGAATTTTCGACGTATGCTAATTTTGTGAATAGCCAAGTCAGCATTTCCGTATGTTATATTCATTTTGTTTTCAAATATCTATTCCCCTATATTGAGTAGTTAACAACTGCTTGTAAGGGATATTTTTTCCATAATTCACTTCAGGCATCTACAGTTATAAAACCTAAGTGTTAGTTGAATAAGCTCATTAAAGCGGAAGCAGAACATTGGGCAGCTAACTAGGAAGGCAGTAGAAAAGTTCAGTTACTAGTTTTATTCATTTGAACTAGGGCACATGCGCAAACATATGTGACCAGGGCTGGGTAGGTGATGTTGAAACGAGTGTAAGCAACCATTAAAAGGGGCACAAGGCCAAGGCAAAGTCAGGATTTGTATCAGTATTCGTTGTTTGCACAGTTCCGGTTTCCGAACCAGTATTGCAATAGCTTCGTCGATTACCAATAGGTGCTAATTAATTGATTTGGGTAGCATCTTGGTATAGAATAGATGAATTGAAAAGCTTCATTCATCCGCACTTACACTCCAGCTTCCACCGGATGTTGTAAAATGGAACTGTTGATGCGTTTCAATGTGCTTTATCGCAGTGAAGTCGGACAGTGCTCCGCGTTCCGTTTGAACATGCACATGGTGGTATGTCCAAATATCTTGCACACCAGGTGTAAATGAATTGATTAA